CGAGATGAAGCTCAAACATGAAGCATGGCACTACCCTGTGGCTGCCAATGCATGGTCTCAAAGTCCCGACCGGTGGATTTTTAAGCCGTGTATTTATTCTTGGATATGGCAAAAAATCAGAAACAAACTAGTTTACAAGGTCATGCGAAGTGTATTTTAAAATCATGGCAGGAGGACTTGATTTTCCAGGCTGGTTCAAGCAGACGTTGAAGTTTTGGTTGCATAATAGAAATGTATTTATTATAGTTATCAAACCCCACTCATCTTGGCGGGTTGAACTGAAAATCCGTGATGAGAAGCTTGATGCGAGTTAAGTTTTTATTTGAAAAGGTAAAAATATTAATTTGGTAAAATTTGATTCATCAGATTAAATTTATAATAACAATTGATTTATTTTGATTAATTCTAAAAAAATATTTTTTTTGTAAAAATAATTAATTAAAATTGATTCGGCAACCCCATAAATTAACCTAGATATTGTTTATTTTTATAGTTAAACTGCACTTTAAATCTTTTTTTTTTACGTTAAATTAATTTTAATTTTTTTAAATCATTTTAATATATTAATATTAATTTTTTTTTAAATATTATTTTTAAATATTTTTAAATAAAAAATTATTTTTAAAAAATAATTACAACGGTAATCACCATCTTAATAACTTAATAATAGATTATGTCCTTTTATCGTCACCATAACTATGATTCCATTGTTCTATTTCATCCAAGAAATTTTGTTTCTTTTAATGGCTCCATGGACTTTGGGTCTTCAGCCTTAATAACGAGTTGGGCTTTGTATGCTTGAACTGGTGGCCGAAATGACCAAAACGCCATCCAGTCACAAATCAACAAAACCCTTGGTTCAAACAATCTAATCTCAGCCGTTCATCTGAGGAGCCAATAGGCCAGTCAATAGGGAATAGGGTTTATAACAAGTTCCATTGTATCTCTCACACCTCTCTCTCTCAAAACCTACCAGCCGTCTAGCCTCTCCCAGATCAAGCTTCTACAATGGTGACTCTCAAAACCCTAGCTTTCAACTACATTACATGTGCTCTTTCATTTCTTCTTAAAAAAAAAGCGAACTGTCTTTTAGATTTCATTTTATTAGTCTTAAAAAGCTTTGGTTACGATAGAAATTTCATTTTTTTTCCTGTTTAAAGCTATAAATTAAGTAGAGATTAGGGTTTTGTTGAATTTTTACAAATGGGCTTGTGCTAATATGTATGTTTTTTTACTGTTGTTTGCTGACAGGCCTTTGCCAAGGCGCAGAAAAGCAGGGCTTACTTCAAGAGGTTTCAAGTCAAGTTTAAGAGAAGGCGAGGTAAAGATTGTAACTTTTTGGTTAATTAGATGTATTGTCTGCTGATAAAGTTCATTCTCCTCAATGAGTTTTGGTGATTTTTCCTTTTTTGATCAATGCATGAGAATTCTCTTCTTGTAGCTGGGAAGACTGACTACAGGGCTAGGATTCGCCTGATTAATCAGGACAAGAACAAGTACAATACGCCTAAGTACCGATTTGTTGTCCGATTTGTATCCTTTTGATTGGTTTGTTCTTTAACGTGTTGTCATATTCATTTCTTGTTACACTGTTCTTTTTTTGCGTTTTTGTTAGCATTTTTAGCCGCTAATTTTTGGGATCTTTATTTGTTATATGCTGTAAAACAGTAGAAATATAATTAGTATTACTGCATTTGCTTTTAAATAAGGCCATGGATTGTGCATGAATGTTGACTTGAATTGATGTTTTTGTGTTTGAATTGAATCATTAGGTCTTGAGTTGTTATTCGTGGTGCAACTGCTTTTGGCGTGTACTTTGGGTGTAGGGTACTGCTCCTGCTCAATAGGGCATTTAAAAAACAATTTATGTACTGTTATAGATTGTGTTCTATATGTTTTGCACCTTAACGTTGTGTTTTTAGACCAACAAGGACATTATTGCACAAATAACATCTGCAAGCATTGCTGGAGATATAGTCCTTGCTTCTGCTTATGCTCATGAGCTTCCTCGATATGGGCTTGAAGCTGGTCTTACAAACTATGCAGCAGGTAATCCTCTGGGTCTGGAAACTATGAGCTTACCTAATATGTTATTCTAACCTTTTGTTTGATTTGGAATCACGTTCAGCTTACTGCACTGGACTTCTCTTGGCTCGCCGTGTATTGAAAATGCTTGAGATGGATGATGAATATGAAGGAAATGTGGAGGTATATTGTGAGGATAAAGGATTCACCTTCTCTGCCAACGAATTTTAACTCTTCATGATACAACTTAACTCAAAAAAATTAGCTGTCTTACACAGTTTTTGGCTTATGAACTTGAATATCAGGCTACTGGAGAGGATTTCTCTGTTGAACCAGCTGATAGCAGGAGACCATTCCGTGCCCTACTTGATGTTGGTCTGCTCAGAACCACTACTGGAAACCGTGTGTTTGGTGCACTCAAGGTATATTAAAACAATTAATTTTGCAAAATCCTTTTCCATTATTTTTGTTCTGGGAAGCTTGTCATAAAATGATTCTTCATTGTAGTATAATTTTTTTAAAAGCACCAGTGCATGAAATTCAATCAATTATTTTGTAAATGTTATCATGCAATGATATTTGGATTATTGCTGTCATTGCCAGGTTGTATCAAATGCATTAGAAGTTGCTAGTGATATTTTCACTATAAAAACAGTTTGGTGGTTTTACTTTTGCCCTTTTTTATCCATTAAACAAATATTTATGGTCTTGTTCATTTTTTTCTTTTTAGTTTACATTAGTTGCATTATCTTTGAATTTCAATATTCAGCATCTGACTGCACAACACCATTCACCAATCATATTATTTATGCTTGAGAATTATGATAGTTAGATTGGTGCCCTTGATGTGTTTCATTGAACTAATTCGTTCTTTTTTCTTTTGTAGGGAGCTTTAGATGGTGGTCTAGATATTCCCCACAGTGACAAGAGGTTTGCTGGCTATGCAAAGGACAATAAGCAACTTGATGCTGAAGTTCACCGCAAATATATTTATGGAGGCCATGTAGCTGCATACATGAGGGTAAATGTGGCTAGCTTTAATGAACACAATTTGTTATATTTTGTTGTTTCCGCTTCTTTAATTGCATCTGTAAAAAAATGTGCTTCTATATTGTCTATTATAATGTTCAGATATTTATTGTGTTTCTTCACCCCAGACATTGATGGAGGATGAACCTGAGAAATACCAATCCCACTTTAGTGAGTACCTCAAGAGAGGAATTGATGCTGATGGTATGGAGGCATTGTACAAGAAGGTTCATGCTGCCATTCGTGCTGATCCAACTGCAAAGAAATCAGAGAAGCAGCCATCCAAGGAGCACAAGAGGTTTGTTGCTATTTAATTGATAACTTTTTGCACGCACCCAACACAACTTTGTGATAGCTTATTTGTTTGTATGGTAAATCACCACTTCCATCTACCTGTAAGTTGCAAGTCCATCTTCTCGTGCCATTTTTGCATGGAGCTACTTGAAATTATATATTTAGTATTTTCCTTCAAATTGTTTCTTTGTATCACAGGTACAACTTGAAGAAGCTAACCTATGAGGAAAGGAAAGCCAAGTTGGTTGAGCGATTGAATGCTCTCAACTCAGCCGCTGACGAAGAAGATGATGAGTGAAACATTGATGACTGAGCTCTAATGTCAGTTTTCCGTGGCACACAGGCTACTTTTGAGTTTTTATTTGAAACCTAGTTAAGTCATTCAGATTATTTTTGCTTATGGCACCATTTTTGTCTCCTTAAGTATAATTTTCTTAGATTACAAGATTATGATTTTTTTTAACTTGATATTGAATGCAATTTCAAATTTGACTTGGCTAATTATAATTTGCTTGATTAAATGCGTTTGTTGAAATAATTGCAATGTGGATATGAAACTGGTGATCATCGGTTTTGATGTTGTAAAACTTGATAAAAAAAAATTTAGATTTTGATTACATGAGGTTCCCCTTGTTGGAATATGGATTTACGCTAGAATGCAACTTTGAAATTCAAGGTGTTAAGATAGTATTAATAATCTGTTGTTAAAAATCATTCCTGACTGGGAATCATCCTATTGCTCTCAAGTAAAATGGGGAGCATGTTTTTTAAACAGATGTTACTTGTGAGTACCCTAGGGTTCGCAAACTGTCGTGATTTTGTGTTGTAGAATCTTGACATTTGATTTCAGAAATTAGCTCCCGAATGCTTGAAGTATATGCTTGTGCTCCAGTTTTAAGCCCCTACTTCGGCACATAGCCACAAGCCAGAATTACATAGAAGGGTGTCGTGTGGATATCAATGCCAACCAGAGAGCACGAAAAGGGTCCACAAAAAGCACAAGAATAATTTCTTATCCGCCGTCAGCCAGCGGATTTCCACTTCCTATTGCAACCAGAGCTCAAAATACTATCGACTTGTAATTTCATGCCACGCACTGTTGACATGATAAATTTGCCTTTTAATTTTTTCCTCCTGAATTCGAGCAATCCTCATTGAGTATGAGATACAGCCATGACTCGTTCACTAACCTGAACACCAGCGACAACAATAACACCAATTTCAGCCAATTCTGAGATCTTCTCTTCCATCTCTAGGCTTTCTAAGAACGATTGCTTGCCATGGAGATTCTAAGCCATTTTCAGATAACTAACTTGTTCATCGCAGCTGGGCATATTTCTCTTGATTTAAGCCTTTGTATAATGTAGATGAATCTACGTTTTCTATATGATGAATTTGGTGCAAAAATTACTAACATACTTGCAAGTCTCTCTAAATACTTAAAAGAAATATGACTTAGCTGATACGTTTAGCCAAATGTACGCCGATATTGTATTGCTTAGCATTTTATATTTCATGGGGGTTCATGCTTACATGTTGCCGGCCAATGACACTGGGCTTGAACATTGCTGGCTGGGATGCAAATGCAGCTAGAAGGCCACCACCTCCGCCACCAGAGGAGAAAAAGGACCCTAGTTTAAGCAATAAAAACAACCCCCGCTTCTGTTCTTCTCCGATCCCCTTACCAAATTTTCTTTTAGTCGAGAGGAAAATGTGTGCTCTAATTAACACTTGAGCTTTTATTGAGGAGTTTAGCATGTTTCAGTTGGGAGGCCACGATAAATTATTTTATATAATGTCTTATAGCTTAATGAGAAAATTGAAAACAAGAAGGGGAAAAAATGCGCAAGTGAGAACACAACGGGTAATAACTTTTTATTGAAATCAGTAAATCTCTTGATAATAGCTTAAAGGTATTATTAGAAATCAGTAAATCTCTTGTATGGTTAATATTTACTATAAATATATATTATTGAAACTCTAATTTTATATTATTGAAACTCTAATTTTATATTATTGAAACTCTAATTTAATATATAGAAAAATAACTTTTTTCTTCTACGAACATAGATATATTATCAAACTACGTTAAATCTCCTCATTTTTGCACTAGACTGACATGATAAAGATAACTAGTGTAATAAGTTCACAACATTAATTTAAAGTAAAGTTATAATCTAAAATTTAACCAATTAATTTTTTTATTTAAGTGGAGAGCAACAAAAAAAAAAGTTAACCTAGAATGGACTCAAGATTTTCTAAACATATTTAGCTCAAATTCAGAAATAACATAGATATTTGATGATAAAATTATATATAAATTAAGTTGTCAAAAGGAAACAGTTTCAATTTGGATTTCTAAAACATGCATTTTGTATCCTTACCCATTTTGGAGTGCATTTTTTGTCCAATAAATGCAGTTTTTTTGACAAAAAACTTGATATTTCTTTTTAAAACTAATGGGAAAAATATGTTATTTAAAATTTCTATTATTTAGGATTATTTGATTTTTATCCTACTTTTTCAATGATTGGATTTTGAGCATAAATTTAACTCAATTTTATAGACACTATTATGGCTTGGAGTGTTTATATATTCACATGAAATGTAATCCATTGATTTCTGAAGAGTTTTCATATAATGAATTAATATTTCATGGAATCCCTTAAAATCCAAGAATAAAAATCTTAATCCAAAAAAGAAAAAAGAAAAAAAAGTAATTTTACAGTCCATGAATAGTCATCACTTTCATGCATTATTCATTATTTTTTCATGGATTTTAAGATATGTTGACTTGGATTTAAGAAATCATAATTCTTTTTTTATTTTTAATTGTATATACCTCATATGTATTTCTTCTTCATGTTCTCATAGGTAAGTCTTTTCTTAGAAGCTTATAAGTAAACTTCATAACCAGCCTTTCTATCAATTCATATATTCTTCAATTAAACTTCAAATTTCTAACAAAAAAAATCATATACAATGAGTTAAAAAATTCAATTTGTTTATCGTTCTATTGATTGCAATAAATATTTTATATTTTTATTTTTTTTGTGAGAATTATGTGCTGATTTAATGAAAAAGTTGTGCTCCATTTCTTGGACCCTAGCAGTGTTCTATGCAAAGAGCATGAGTACAATAGGTAGAAGAATTAATTTGAGTTTTGTAACCTTTTCAAAAGCCACAATTTTTAAATCTCTAACTCGAAGAGTTAATTTGATGACCTCTTTAAGTCGAAGAAGGTAAATTAATTATTTAATTAATTTTAAAACTACAGGGACTAAATAATTGATTTTGATAAACTACATGGATTAAGTTATAATTATCTCAGTAAAATAACCACACTAGGACTATTTGTCCCTCCATAGTGGTAAAAATGAAAACAGATTTTGACTTCAATTTCAAAAGATAGAAGAAGAAGAATAAGAGGAGAAAGATAATGCTACAGTCCTCTGAACTACAGCTTTTCCAGACCTTTAATGGCCTCCAACACATTGCTAAAACCCATCAGTTCAAGGTAACCAAACTTATCATGACTGTAGATGTGTCAATTATGCAAATTTTGGTGTTTATTTTTTATATTCTTTCAAAGATTAATTTCAGTTTAATTCTTGTTAATTTCACAAAATACTACTATATATTACAGTTTAATAGTTTTTAGGATCCGGGTTCAAATGGGTTTGCTTGAATTGCGTTGAATTCTGTATAAAGCTTAGAACTTGGCCAGTTGGTCTTTCTTATTGTTTTGGATTACATTGTACATGAAGTAGAAGTTTTGCTTATTAATTTGGTAATGTGTACCACAGGCATGGTTTTTAGATCAATTTGGAGTACTTCATGATGGAAAACAACCTTATCCTGGTGCAATTTCAACATGTATGTGCTTATTCATTAGTTTTGGCATCTGGATCAGTACTTGGCTGATGCTGTTATAAAATCTTATGTTGAAAGTGGTTTCTATTTCATGTATTGGTGGCAGTGCAAAAGCTAGCTACTACCGGTGCCAGAATGGTGATTATAAGTAATTCTTCGCGGCGTGCATCTACAACAATGGAGAAAATGAAGAGTCTTGGATTTGATACTTCTTTATTTCTCGGAGCAATTACCAGTGGAGAATTAACACATCAATATTTGCAGAGGTTAGTTATTCAGCTTTATGGAGTTGAGGAATTATGTTCAATGTTTGGTGTTATTTTGGTGATTGAAAAGACTGTTGCTTTTTTGTGTTTATACGGTATCAATTTTGTGTACTGAATTTTCATGTATTTTCACTAATATCCTTACATATGGGGTACCGAATTTTGTTGAAAAGAAGTGGACTTTATGTCTAATACTATTAGAGAAATGTTTGGTTTGAAACCCTGCAATATCCTTATTTGTGAATATCTGTGAAAAAGAATCCATCTTCAATGATTGAAAAACAGAATGATGGGAACACTTATCTCTACCCTCCTCCTCGAGGATCCATCCTTCAAAGTGATTGATAATTCTGCCATTTAGGGACGGTATCAATGACATTTCTAAAACAAGAAAGGTTTTTTTATTTTTTTAAAATCATTTTATATGCCAAACTTCTTCCTTTTGACTTAGTTATGCCATAGTTTATGGTTTATACATCTTTTAAATGCACGTAAATACATATAGATTTCCTGACTCCTATGTTGAAATTGATAGGAGAGATGATGATTGGTTTGCAGCATTAGGAAAATCTTGCATTCACATGACTTGGAAGGGCAGAGGTGCCATATCTCTTGAGGTGTGTGGTTTGGTTGAATTCTTTTCTACACTGTTTCTCTGGTTTCTTTTTTTCATTTACACTTCTAGTTTGCCTTACCCCCGCCCCCTCTCTCCTCCTTACCTTCTCTCTCTTCCTAAGTAAACAAAGACATCGGACATGATTAAACAAACCAGGAAGCACCCATTATGTTATCACAAGATCTTCTGCAACTCTTTTAGTAGCCAATTTCTCCATCTGTAATTTTTCTTTTCTTTGGCTCTGAACAGAATTTTGGAATAGATTTCTGTTCAACCTGAACTATCTTTGAGTAGATAATCTATTGATCACTGCATTTGCTCTAGTTGTGCTAGGTGATTGTGTCAAGAGCCATGAATGATCCATTGGATCTAATTAGCAGACTTACAATTGATAATCTTGATTATTCAGGTGTCAGAAGACCTTAGACACTCAGAGTCAGACTCATAATTAATAATCTGCTTTTATGCCCATTTTTTCCTTGCAGGGCTTAGGCTTACAAGTTGTTGACAAGGTTGAAGAAGCTGAGTTTGTTTTGGCTCATGGCACTGAAGCATTGGGGCTGTCTTCTGGTGCTTCCTGCCCTATGACTCTTGAGGAGCTTGAGAATGTATTGGAACGTTGTGCTGCTAAACAAATTCCTATGGTAGTAGCCAATCCAGACTTTGTAACTGTTGAAGCTAGAGACTTGCGAGTCATGCCTGGTAAAGATTTTGAGTCATCTTATCCTCCTGTTTACAGAATACATTCTTAATCAGAAATGACTCTCTCTGTGAATGGAAGCTTAGCATGGAAGTCTCATTTCAATGGAGATGTAGTTCTGTTTTTTGTTTAGTTTCTAATAACCTAACTGTTTGGTTTATTTCCAAAAATCCCAATGCCCTTGTGAAGATGTTTCTTGGTAATCTAGTAGCAATGGTATAACTTTTGGGGGATCCTTTCTCTTCCATAGTGTATTTCCTTTCCTTTCCTTTTGTTACTTTCTTCTTTTATCTAAATAAAGCAGCAAAATGCATAGCTATAAACCTAATGTTCTATGATAAAATGAACAAATTGCGGTTGATTGACTTTGTCTGGCATATGATTTTAAGAGGAAAATTTCATTTTGTTTTGATAATTTGTGATCAATTTGTCTAGAAAAAATGAACAACTACTCCTCTATTTATTGCTTGAATAATAATATAAATTTAGGAGTTAGCTACTCTTTGCATTCTTTCTCATTTTCTCGCCCCTTATATATAGATCAACTTGTAAGAAAAACTAAAAAAAAATAAAAATACGGAGAGATTTATTTTGTTAACTCTTGTGATACAAGTTGTGCTATCTTGTTAGGTACATTGGCTGCCAAGTATGAGAAGCTTGGTGGTGAAGTGAAATGGATGGGCAAGCCAGATAAGGTGCTGTTACTGCATATTATTCTTGTTAGTTCTTACTCTTAATTCGGAAATGCTTATCATGTCCTTTGGTGATATGGACAATCATGTATTTGCCTCAAATTGCAAGTACAAACTAGCATTGAATTTTTAATTTTTGTTCTATGAACCACTGCTATTTCCTTTATTTTTAAATATTCTATACAAAATACAGATTAAGCGGTTAAAATCAATCACTGGCGTTTGACTTTTTAGTTTGAGATGTTCAGGAATAATCTACATTTTGCTCATATTTTATACAATTTGTGTGTTCCTTTAGGGCAAAGCTGTTGTTATCACCTTCTTTATCATATCATTGCGTTTTCTTTTTTTGGTTATACATTTACTTTGGTTGCTCTGATTACTGTATCAACTTTTTGGCAGATAATCTATAAATCTGCTATGGAATTGGCTGGGGTTGATGCTTTTGATTCTATAGCTGTGGGTGATTCTCTTCACCATGATATCAAAGGTGCAAATGCTGTTGGGATCCGGTCAGCATTTATAACAGGTGGGATTCATGCAACTGAACTTGGAGTCAATAGTTTTGGAGAAGAAGCAGCTTTATCTTCTGTGCAGGCCCTTGCATCCAAATATGATGCATACCCATCATTTGTTTTACCATCATTTACATGGTAGAAACTCATGCTGGTAAACATATCTCATTTGCTATCTTTAATTTTTGGATGTTTGTCCCGTTTAATGAAGCTATCTATTTGCAAGTCAAGCATTGAAAAATTATCAATGAGCAAGCAATTAAGTTGTCTATTTTACACTATTATAATATGTTTATCTTTTCTTGGTTCTGCTTCATTCATCCTCTACTTTTTCTTGACATGCTCACTCAGCTCTCTGCACTCCTTGCTTGCTCTTCATTTTGGATATTCATGAGTAGTTTTCGTAGGGATCTGGGTAGATTGGCTTATGTTGAAGCAAACATCTTTTACTTTGTTTCAGATTCTAGTGCCTTGTCCACATGGTTTAGATTAGGTTTTTTTTTTTTTTTATGTTCAATATGTATCATGAGTCGAAACTACGACTTTGAATTGCTTATTTAACTGTTTTCAAACAAGCACATAAAGATTCAATCACATTGCATAATAAATTAAACAAACAATATTCATATCTGTTGTCTTTCAAGTATTCTCCCTCTACTACACCATTCTCTTGTGATCACCACTGAGAGGTTGCAAAATATTTATTTTTGGCTAATTTTCTAGCATTATTTGAGAGCAAAAGATATTCATATTCAAGTAGCACTAACTCATCACATGGAGTTGATTATACGTCTCATAATGCCGCTTCCTAAGTTCTCTCTTGATGCTGCTTCATGAGTCTAACAGATTGCATTGGTATGCTCTGCCCTTCCTCCCATTTGTTGCAGTAATTTACTTCTATACATAATTAATATCCTTTTCTGGGAACTCCAGGTTTTTCTTAAAATGCTTAATTTTGGCTGGAATGACAAAACTTGCTGCCTCAATTCATCTAATTCCTTCTCCGTAAGATGAATATCAGCGATCCTTTAAAACAATACAATTACTTCTATACAAAAAATCTCAGGATTATTATGGAGTTTCACTGTTTATATAAATGATGAAGCTATTTTTAGCCCTTTCATTTGTTTTTCATTTCCTTTTTTTTTATATTTCAATTTGGTCCCTTTTTTTCACAATTTCATTCTTAGGCATTTAATAAATTTATAGGCTATCTTTTAACTGACTAAGTTGATTATATTTTAAATTCAGGTTAAGTAAGGATTTAGGTCTTAGAGGTATTTTTATATCAATTTAATCTCCTTTTTCCTTATAGTTTTTTTATTTGTGGATCGGTCAAGTTGATTGTTATGTTAGATAATTTACACATAATTTAATTTTAAATTTGAGCTAGATAAAAAATTAGATCGAGAAAGTTTTCTATATCAATTTTTTTTTCAAATTCATCACTGATTTTTGTTAGTAGTTACCTGGAAAGCTTTTTGACCGATCAAGTTGAAGAAGTCATAATCTTTACATAGTTTAATTGTAAATCCGGACCAAATAAAAAATCAGATTAAAATGTTTCAAGATTACCAGGGTTGAATTTAATAAAAATATTAAATAGATTTCTACAATTTGAATGGTTTTTATTTCGTTCAAAATTTGTTTGATGCAAATCGGGAAAATGAAACTAGTGATTGACTTTAAGGATCAGTAGATAAATGGCAAATGAGTAGAATAGATAAGTTGATTTGCGTTTTTAATCCTTTCTTTGGATCCCAAAGAATTCCAAACCTTTTTTTCCTTCACAACAGCATTAGCAATTGCTTCCTCTTACCGCTTAAAGCCCTCCGATCTTCTCCAGAGCTCAACAACAGCAGTAACCTAGATGGCTTCTAGTGCAGCTCGCCCCTGGAAGTTGCAAGGAAGTTTTAATGCAATGAAGCTCCATAAAAACTACAGTGAGGTATGTTATTTTCAGCCATACGCTTAGAGGAAGCACCCGCTGCTGCAGCTGTATTGGCCAAGCAAGGAGTTTATAGGCAAATTGATCTGATATCTTGACTATAGTCCTATCCACCATAACCCCATTTTACAGGTTAAATTAGAAACAAAAGAAAAAAAAAAGAAGAAGAGGAAACTTTCCCCATTTTCTTCTTTGACAACGATAGATTACAACTTTCAAAGCCCTTAAATTAAGTGCAAATAAACAAATTTTCCAGAAGTGAAAAAAGCTGTCATACTCTGCAATCCTGATGAAGTCCAATGACAGTTAGCCGACTTACGGGAAAAAAAAAAAGACAACTGAAAATTTCCGTTTTTCCTTTCCAAAATATAATTTTCATTAATTCCTCTCCAAATCCATATCACAGGTGGCCTGTGTTTTGCTATAGGTTAGATAAAGTTTTTAAAATATAAAAAAATATTAAGAGTATAAATAATTTTTTAATTATGTTATTAAATTCGGTTTAATGGGTATAAATAAATAAACTAAAACAATTAACAAAAAAACTATATCCAAGTCAATTCGAATTATCAAACAACCCAATGGTGACCTTTTTGAAGAAAAACAAAAAAAAAATCAAACTTAAAAAAAAATAGAAAATATTAGCTTAAAAAATAAAGGAAAAAAACCAGCAAATCTAGACAAATTTTCTAAACCTAGTCTAATATAAAAAAAATACAACTTACTAAATTATGAATCAAGTTTAAATATCATTCAATTTAATTTTAAAAGATAAAATCATTAAAAAACTATTAATAAAAAATCTTGCAAAAGAAAAGGAAGAACAAAAAAAGAAGAAGAATGGGGCTAAAATTTGACAAGAAAAGACCCGATAAGAATTAAATAAAAAAATTATCATGAATTAAAAAAATTATAGGGGAATGAAATATCATTTGTAATATGAAACTTGAGTGAAATAGAAAAAAATTGTTGTGTGCTAACCCAATAAAATCAAATTGAAAAAAAATAAGAAATCAAAAGTAAAAAGAAGACGTAGAAAAATTAAACCTAAAAACAATAACAAAACAAAAGTTATAAAAATGAATAAAAACTAAGACAATATCAATTTAGAAAAAAAGGAAAAAAAGTAACCAGTCTAATATCTAAAAGTTGCATCTCATTAAATCTTTTACTTTGATTTAATTAAAAAGCATAATTCTTCATTAATTTAATTTTGAAGGATGAGATCATTAAAAAAGTATTAATAAAAAAAATACAAAAACAACAAAAAGAATAAAATAAAATTTGATAATAAAAACCCAAGGAGGATGCAATTTAATGGACTTAAAAATAATTTCAAATAAAATAAATATTAATTAAAAAAATAAGAATTAAATTTAAAGATTAAAAAAATTATAGGGGTTTAAATTAAAAATATATGTAAAAACTAAGTAAATTTAGACAAATATTCTAAACATGATCAAATATTAAAAAGCTTGCAACCTATAAAACTCTAGATTTGGGTTCTATCAAGAAATTTATTATAAATTAATTTAAAAATATAAATTTAAAAAACTTGTTAAAGAAGAAAAAAGATAACAAATAAAGCTTTGGATGAACTTGAGAATTAATCTGGGATAACAAATCAAACACATAATCTATAATATAAAATTAAAATAATCCTATAAATACAAAAATAAAAAAAATGCTGTAAAAAAAATTAAAAAATACTTTTAAAAAATGAAAATTAATTCGGCTAATCCTTGTGTAAAATGACAAGAGGCAAAATAGTGAAAAGACTAATGATGAAAAGGTAAAATAGTAATTATACTATTGCAATAAATAGTAATATACATCTTGAAACATCGCCGGGGGATTAGTTTATATGGAAAATAATATACTACTTTGTAATATGCTCAATAGCTACATCAAGCAGCAATCAAACACTGCTTTGAAATATTCAATAACCGATCGAGATCTTGACGTGTAGCCCTGGCAACAAGATCTTCAAGTCGTGAGCAATTGTCTAGCAAAGTTTCAAGTCTATAATAAGAAGGCGAGTAGTCTCTTTGAATGTCCAAGTCTACGGCGACTTTGAAAGAGACTTAACTGATCGAGTGAGATGCTAGCATATTCTACCATGCTTGTTTACACACGCGAGTATTTATGTTTGTATGTTCTTCAATTCTCTCAATTGATTTATTATATGAATCCTGCTCCCTCAAGATTAATCAACTTTGCTCAACTTTCATCTTCTTCTATCAAGAAGAATCTTAAAACCATGTTATTGTTTCTACTTACTTTGTTAATGCTTACTTCACAACATGTTTCTGCTTCAAGTACTGATCATCAACAAGCTGATGGAGGAGTGCTAGAAGTGGAGGCGTTACTCAAATGGAAAAAGAGCCTTAGTGGCCAAGCTCAATCTCTTCTGTCTTCATGGAAACCCATTCCCGGATCAAACATGAGCCCATGCGCTTGGTCTGGGATCCACTGCAATGATGGTGGAAGTGTCTCCACCATAAACCTAACCAATTTCCAGCTGAAAGGTACGCTTGATGACTTCAACTTCTCATCCTTCCATAATCTGTCTTGTCTTGATCTCCAACACAATTCCCTCAAAGGAAATATCCCTCCCCATATCAGTAATCTATCCAAGCTTACCATTCTCAATCTGGGTTATAATCAATTCACCGGATATATTCCTCGGGATATAGGAACTATGATGAAACTCAATGTCTTGAGCTTCTCAAACAATCTTCTTCTGGGTTCTATTCCCGCTACTGTTGAAAACTTATCCAATCTTTCAGTACTAAACCTTGCCAACAATCACCTATCAGGCTCAATCCCACCGGAGCTTGGGAGGTTGAAATCCCTCAGTGAGCTTCGCTTGAATTTAAATGACTTGACGGGTGCAATCCCTGCCTCTATAGGTGATCTCATAGGCCTCAAGGTTTTGTCTCTCTATGGAAACCACTTGTCTGGTCCACTACCTCCAGAGATCAACAAGCTTACCAATTTGACGTTGTTCTTTTTGTCAAACAATAGCATTTCTGGTTTGTTACCTGAAAAAATTTGTCATGGACGCATACTTGAAGATTTTTGTGCAAGTAACAATCGCTTTACGGGTACTATTCCTAAAGGTTTGAAGAACTGCACAAGCTTATCTAGACTTCGACTTGACAGGAACAACCTCGTTGGAAACATACCAGAAGACTTTGGTGTGTACCCAAATCTTGATTACATTGATTTGAGCTACAATAATTTTCATGGACAAGTATCACCAAATTGGGGAAAATGCCAGCGGCTCACAAGCTTGAAAATATCCAACTGTCATGTCACTGGTGTGATACCGCCAGAGCTCGGAGAGTCAACAGCTCTGCACTATTTA